GTGTCAAATGCTGGAAATTTAAAATTTTCATTTCATTTCCTTACACACACACCAAAATAATTTCAACACAATTCAATTTCACAAGTTTATAAAACATTCACAAACGTCTAACCACCAAACCTTCCGCCGTTTATCGTTTGTGACTTCCAAACAAAAATACACAATCGTCTCATTTCATTGCACACAACCAACAAATAAATTCCCCAAAAAATAATTAAAAACAAAACCCACATTTACATGAAACCAATCCTCACAAACGATGCACTGTACCATCACGCCACCTTCCTCCCAAATCTCGTCGTACCCATATAAAGGTACCGAATCCGCGTAGGGTCGATCGCAGGCACAATATCGACCCTCATAATTATGATTATACTGATTCCATGTGTTCAACAATTTTTTTCCCTGAAAAAATCACAAATGACCAAAAATTAAACCTCTCTAAAACGCGCACCACTATACCGCCCAGACCTTACCTCTGAAATTTGCCTTCAAACCGTGAATATTTTCGTTTTCTTGCTACTAACTCAACCTCAACTCTCCAAAAAATATCATCCATTTTGCTGGATCATTCACAAATGCTTTCATTGAACTGTCTGAAATGTTTTGAAACTATACCCGGGTAAATCTTGAACTATACCCGTAAGGTTTACCCGAATTTTTGCGCACACATTGCTAAAACCACCCAAATGAAACCTTCTTAAACACATAAAGCAGCAGCAAATCAAAAATACCGGATAGAGCTGGCATGGGTGACGAAATTTCGAGTTGCCACAATCACAGCACACTCTCCTCTTCGTGTACAACTCCAGCAGAGTATGTCCAGAATGACAATTCATCGAACAGCCGTAACAGATCGCTGTGGGCAGTGGTTCCAGTGTTGTTAGATCTCGTTTCATAGTCGGAAAACACGTGGCGCACGTGTAGATCATTTGCCGAGGTGGATAACCCTTAAAAATGCTCGAATGCGAAAAAATTCCGATAAAAAATTTCAGATTTCCTCTATAATTATGAAATTTAGATCATAATTTTTGAATATTCATCTCTTTAAGCATCTACCAAGTCACTCGAGGAAGATTAACTCAGAACTTTTATCATTATTATGATCATTTCAACGAAAACACAACGGAATTTTACCCAGTTGAAAATTTACCCACTCGAACGGGTGAATCTTGAAGTTTTGAAGGTT